TCGTACGACTCATGGCCGTAGGTGACCATTGCGAAGAAGTTTGATTTAAACCCCAAAAGTTTAGTTTTCAGACTCAGCTCTGATTTAATCACAGTAGTTCGGACTTTTTCACGCAGAATGCCACTGGCTATTTCAATCCGTCGATGATCTCTTCTACCCATTTTCCATCACTGATAAAAGTGCTTCTTCGTTAATCTATGCAGTACAAAAGGCAGGAGGAGGAGAAAGTACCAGGCTGCGAACATTTGCAGAGAGCGCTGGAGATCAGTTTCACAACGTTCCAATCAAACAAGGTTGTCTGCAAACAGCAGCTTTCTCCTCTCGATATCATACATTGGTACTCTCCTCGCCTTCACTACGCCTCATTCTCCTATTCATACATACCGCAGGGGAAGAGACAGAATGCTACTGGTGCCGACTGTGAAAGTTTTAATATTATAAATCATTTCGTGTTTGCTTTTTTCGAGTCATTAATTTTGCGTTCACAACATGGATCGATGATATGTCGATCCTTCTTGCATTAACCGGAATTGATGCTAAAACTTCTCTCGTATAACGTGTGCAGTCTGGTGTTTAATTAGCAAAGATCACTCAGACTGTAAGCACAGTTGGCAACGAAGCAACTGCATCGTCTTAGTGATACCGCGCGTCTGGTCAGAATCAGCAAGTAAATCATGTGGAACACAACCAGATTAGCATTGACCAGTAAGGCGGATGTTATCCTTTTGGGGTACGCGGACAGAGGTATTCGACTTAGATCTTTTTGATATTCTCAATAATGTCAAATGAAGTGGAACCACGTCAACAAATATGAGTCTTGCTGATATTGTGTCAGTTGTTACAGGAAGTATCCTCAAACCTCAACGAACTGAATTAAACGGGGATTATCCTGATGATTGTCAAGATCGGAAATCTCGCACCGATCGCATAAACCATTGATGAACTATCCTCTTGAATGAAAAAAGATGTTTACAAAAATAATCCTTGCGAATCTTGAAGGCAAAAAATGAAATACGCCGTTTGTGTATAAATCACGATAGTCGACGGCTGTACACACTGCACTGTCAGAACTGAAGAACATCGATTATGGGAAAGATTCAGCATAACCAGTGAATTTCGCCAACTTGAGGATATCTCCTTCGTGACTGAACATCATGAGAGACTACGTTATCCAGAAACAGTCGTCATGAAAAGTAGCAATTATTTGCTGGTAGGTAATTATGGTAAGTTTTTTACTGATCAGCTTCAGGGTAATTGTATTAGGGAAATGTAGCCGTTGTTGAGAGCAGAATTAAACTATTTTATAATCGATGGGCCAGTTAGAATGAGTTACGTCGCTCGTGTAAGTGTTGATCAGTAGTTTGGGTAACTGGTAAAGCTGTGGTTTAAATTAGGAATTTGAAGGGCGTGTTGTTCTTTGCCCATAATTTTTTCGGGGCCTTGATGTGAAGCCATCGCCTGAGAAACATGAAAATCCCTATTATGCAAAACTGTTCTCATTCATGCCTAAGAATGTTTAGCTTTTTTGAAGCTGATTCGAAGCAGCGAAGGAACTTCGAAGATAGCAATGTCGTAAGCCACATGTTGACTAAACGGCAATAAACCAGCTAGTAGCTGAGACATGATCTTCATATTATAAGTTTGAAGGGCAAACAACGTGGTTTTTTTCCTCCTAAGATTTAGAACTGTTTCGAAAATGTAGATTATTTATTACTATATTGCTGTATACCGTTTGCGAAGAATTTAACTCGAATTTTCACAGCTTTGAAACACTAACAAATTCTAATTTACTCAAGTTTACTAACTCATGTTTGTGCCACGTTCATTACTGGCGGCAAATCTGCTGTATATTATCCAGAGGTGGTTCTTTCTACACGCTTACAGATCAGACTTTGGTGGTTGGGTCTGGCCTGAGATAACTCTATGTTCTTTTGGGCACATGTTTTCAATAGATATAAAGATACAAAGAAGGACGTAGCAACCGGTTCCGTATTGCAAGTGGTGAAAAGTTAAGAATTTACGGATTTATCATGCAGAGACATTCTGCTTATATTAAAGGCTTAAAGGGATGATTTCAGCACACAGATACAAAGGCCATAGGTTCAATTTTTGCAAGACTGGTGAAATAAGCGACTCAAGATTGGTTAATTTATTCATGCTATCGCTCGTTCATTGACACTGATTCATTTATTCGTTTGTTCATTCACTTCCTCATACATTGCTTCTGTGATTCATTCTTCTATGCATTATTTTATTAGTTCAGGATCATATTTACTGCATTAGTCTCATGAAACCACCGACCATGCTTCCATCATGAATAGCAATTTGTGAAAATAAATAAATATATGATAAAATTATGAGGCTTCATAAGTCTGAACCGGGAATTTAATGAATCTTGAGTTTCTCGATTCGGCTCGAATCCAGTTGTAATAAACAGATATTTCATTTGTTCATCGTGATTACATGGAAGTTTTGTTATTCTTATTTAATGGCAAGAGTTGCTACTTAAAAATTCGACAAATTCTTTACAGGATGCCAGCACATCGAATTCATTATATACGAATTTTTGAAACGTTTCGAATTATGCTCAACCTATCGTCAGCGCGAGACATGTTATCAAACAAAATGTTATCAGTATAGGAGTTTTTACTGTAAATAACCTTGAAGTCTTTAAGGATTGGAATAAGAAATCGGTTCGCTGAACAGCTGAAGCCATTTTTCTGAATGTTTATTTCTTGTGAGCTCTAACTATTAATCAAGATGCATAAAAGGCAGTTTGCTAACCTGCATTGGAAAATGCTGTCCAATAAATAAGGAACTTTCACTCCGTATCCCTGTTTCAAATATTAACCATTATTTTAATGGTCTTTTGACCTGTCTGAAGTTGTTTCAGCTGGTCTTTCGGCTTATGACAGGCAAAGTAAAAGAAGAATTGCGACAACCTGTTCGTTGAATTACCTTGCCCTTATGAAATTCTAAGAAGGCTGAGTTGACTCTTGTGGCATCGTCGATCCTGGAAAGCAGAACTGATCTTGCTGAACACGTTCATACTGAAACAACCGGAGTAACTCCTGGCAAAACCGATGAAAGTAGAGGCTTTCGTATTAACGAGCCAGCCTCAGGCTCTTTTGAAGCATCCTGTATAGATGACATAGGTAATATATAAGTATTAATACTCACTGCAAGAAGCAACAATGAGGACGACTGCCGTTGCGAAGCACGTTGCTCCTATAGGAATGCACAGACCGTTGATGGTCGAGCTGCGGAAGAATTCGGTCGAACCACAGATTATGAGAACAGTGCCGCAAATGGCGAAGAATATGCAAACGGTAAAAATGTGACGTCCGTAGAAGCTGCAAACTTCCATATGAGTAGGTCTGCGACAACTGGTTTCTGTGTACACATGATACTCGCCTAACTTCTTGCTTCTGGTTCTCCATCCTGATATGAGTGTCTGAAAATGTGACATTGCTAATCGACGTATCCTCAGTAACGACTGTTGTTCTGCAGATCAAAGCACATTTGCATATTTAATGAACGTTTGTATTTTATTAAGAAGGAAGAATTAAATAATGAAAAATAGGCGTTCTGCTAGATTATTAAAATCTTCACTTGGATCAGCCAGTATTCACCCTCTAGCCGGAACACGCCCGCTATCCGTAATTCCTCACAGTTGGAGCTTTCAACCTCCAAACCCGGCTTTCCTGTCTCATAATGTTATCTTCTTCTATTACACAGTCGTGGTAGTGAACCAAGCAGCTCAGT